TCTCACACACACACACACACACACACACACACACACACACACACACACACACACACACACACACACACACACACACACACACACAGAGCCAGATACAAGTAGGGGAAGAGAATTATACTGAGGTAAATTAAATCAAAATAGAGTCCAGTGAAGCCTTGCCATGATGGTTTAGTCCTCTAATAAATCATATCTTACAGGCGGTGGTCCCAGGTGCTGTCCTGTGTCAGTTTATGAGAACACTTAAGGGCTGTCTCCACACACAAGTGTATGCTGTTTAACCAGAACAGACTGACAGCAGCAGTGAGTGTGCGTCACATAGAAATACATCTTTTTGGGGAATGATTTATCATTTGCTGATCACTGCAAAGTGCACCAATGGAGATCTTTGTGGCATTTTAATGGAATTATTTGGCTAATAACAAGGTTTGCTACAGGAGACGGTTCATTCAAGAAGGCTTCTACATCAGGTTTTTGTTTTTGTTTTTTAGTATTTTACTTGTCTGTCAATTAGCACTTATTAGCAATAATCTATGTATATTGCCCATACACATGTAGTTTGCTTACTAAGATTTGTAGAATTAGCTAACTTAGCCTTCCACCCTCTCATCCAACAGCAGTGTTCAGGCTTGTAAATGTAGCCCAGAAACATTTTTTTGAACAGTACGTGTTGTTATTGTTGCGTAAGCAGAAGATGCAAGTTTGCTCCTGTGAAATACAGCATCCTATGCAGAACATGAAGGCTAATGTGAAGATTTAATTACATAAATTATCCCACCAAACACATTCAGAACACCTGGAAGCACAAGTTAGATCAGAGGATAAAGCAGGTGTTGAAGTTCAATTATTTTCTAAGCCTTTTATGATCCCGGAAAAGAAGACTTTACTGTGCCAGCATAATCTGCTCCTGCATCATTTTTCTTTATACTTGCAGTAGACGCAGTCACCTAAAGACCTGCTCTAGTATCGCAACTGAGGAAAAGATTGTGCTCTTCTTCTGCTCTATTTGTTATGTAATAGGAGATATAACCACACCTTACAGTATCCTGAGCTTTTGGCACTTTTTTAACATGAGCATTGCACAATAATATGTCAGACTGCCTTTGAGGAGCTGATAAGATACCAACAAACAAGTAATGTTCATGTTTTTCTAAGCTACATCAACCAATCCTGTGTCAGTTTTGGGAAGATGCAAACTAAATATCCCCCCCACTGTGTGCCAACCCACACATCCAGCCTTTTCCGCATGGATTCATTTGACGTTATCGGAGTGAAAACAGGCATTTCCACAACAGCACGATGTGCCAAGCAGGCCGAGGTCATATATTCTTCCGTTTTTGTTTTTGTCCTGCTCTGCACACTGGACCGAAAAGATTTACTGCGTCGAAATGGTCAGAAAACGGTGACCACATTAACGTCGGTTACTCCATCTCAGCTTCTTTCCTGCGATTGTTTGACGTTTTATGTTATAAGCCTATCGCAGTAGTTTCAGGTTAAAAAAAACTGTAAAAACATAAAAATAACCTCAGAAGGGTCCTGGCTATGTTAGTATATCCATTTAACACAGAGACACCCTGCAGTGTATATTTTTAAATGAGAAAACATGCCTCCATCGTTATTCTATTAATAATGACTGCACCGATGGAACGATGCGAATCAATCAGCCGTCAGTCAACCACATTGTCTCTTCAGTAAACACCATTAAGGAAATTGAGAAGCTGTTAACCTTTAACCCTCCTGGAGCTTCTTCTGCCGTCCTCTGTCACTTAACTGACTAAATCCCGGCACAAAGGCGACCCCAAGTAACCTTGGATGACCTCTCATTTAGACCACTGACGGATGTGTAACAGATATTGCCTTCAATGTTTTCCTGACTGCAGCAGTTATTATTACCATCCCTGTGTGCCTGTTAACTCTAGCTCGGGGAGATTTAAGTGATCAAACAGAGTTTAGATTAGGAGTCTAACGAAAGTGTTTTGCAGCCTGTTTCTAAAAAACATAATGCAATCATTTGTAAATCATTTTAATGCTATAGTTTAATGACAAAATGCATGCAAGTAGCAAAAATGTATGCTCATTTTCTATTTGAAAATTAAAAGCCTGAAACGGTAAAGAATTTAGGGACGAGTCTGAAAGCCAGCGCTGAGTGGACTCAGGTGGTATTTTATTAAAAACAGACGTATTTCTGAAGTGGAAATCACCACAAGGACTCAGCAACACCTCTGGAACCCATCATCAGTGAACACAGTTTGCTGCTGAATTCTAATTAAAACTGTCTGGATTGATAATTTGCGTAAATTCTTATTAGTGCCTGAAGCTAAGTGACCTATTACAACTGTTGTGAAGAAGCACATGTATAACATGTGCTGGTGGGGGCTTTGTAAGGTGTGTATTACACATTGTAAATGGGTGTATTTTAACCATAACTCAGTAGCTTTTGCTCAAAACCGTAACAAACAAGTGAAAGCAAAAACTTTCCAAGGAGTTTCCCCCCAAAGTCAGGTGTGTTTATGCCTCTGTAGTCGTGCCTGCCTGCTCCGAATATGACACTTCTTGGGACCTAAAAGTGGAAATGCTCCTTCAGGTGTTCGTCGTATATGTAGTTTCAGAAATGCTAACATGGTTCAGACTGTAGAAGCAGGGAATCAACTCAACTGTTTAGTATGAGGACTTCTGGACAAAATGCACACTAGTATAGATAACAAGATCTGCTTTCTTGTCTGAAAATCAAAGTATGTAAGTCTGACCAATCAAAGTGAGCTGAACATATTTTTGTTCGTCAACTCTCCCAGAAATGGTAGGTCAGACTGTATATGAACCTTGGACCCTGAAAATATTATCTTAACCACAAAAAAGGAGGATTAAGATAAGATCCTTTTAACTACAAAACAATGCTTGGCTCGGCTCACATAGGCAACAAACTGAAACTCTTTGAAATGCTTTCTAGCTAAGTGGTAATGAGTGCAAATATTAGACAATTTTTACAATTTTATTGTTTTGTTTTTATTGCTTTAACGTTATTATTGTGTCTAAAATAGGTCTCTTTTAAATGAGACTGAGTCTCAATGGGATTACCTGTATAAATAAAGGTTAAATAAAAAAAAAAGAAAGATACTAAAGGTAGGCTCATCAACAAAAAACGTTAACCGAGCATAACTCTGCTTGAATTCTGTCATCATCACGAGGAGAGCTGCTGGGGTGAGTCCTGATGTGGGTGCTTCAGGACAGGTGACTGACCTCGGCAGATGAATCCGTCTTGGATGATGGTTTGTTTGCAGACGCTGCAGTGCTTTGCCTTCTTGAAAGTCTTCACCCGGAACGTGTGGGAATGAAGAGCCTCCAACTCCTCTGGCTGCAGTCAGGAAAACAACAACAAAAGACAAAAGAGGAGGAATGTTAGTTTAAAAAAAAATGTTGCAAGCTTCACTGAGTCCAGGTGGCGTGAGTCATTGAGCGGTATTTTTGTGCCCAGAAGATCATTCAAAACACAAATGAAATCATTTTATAAGCTAGACAATACTGAATCTATAAAGTCAAACTGTAAATCATATATCAATCGTTACATTCATCTCAGGAGCAACCCCTCCTCCAGAGGCAAATCATTACAACTAAGTTATTTGTGCTTAAAAACTTTGCTTCAAAGTCCTCTAAAGTCCTCCCAGGAAGTAAAGCTGTGGGGGTTTAAGCTGTCAGAAGCAAACAAAAAACGAAAACACTGTCTTATCTCCTGTTTTTCTTTCTTTCAACCACCTCCTACTCCTTTCTCCTCCCCACATTTGACCTGTCATCTCTTTGCCCTCCTTTGCAGGTGTGTTACACAACTCTGGAGAAACTTTATCTCCCAGGCCTGTTAAACATCCCCGAGTGTCTGTCTGCAGCCTGCTGTTTTTCCCTTCACCATGTACCATCCAGCGTCCAGCCCTTTTCCTGCCGGCTTTGTAAACGCAATTTAAGGTCGTGACACACACCAAACACAAAAGTGAGACCGACTCCTGCAGGGTCTTTGTGAGAAACGTGCGTCATATTTCCATAAGCCCCCCCCTCTCCCAAAATGTTCAATCATGGGAAACGTGACATAATTTTTGTTGTTTATTTGCTCAGCTGGTCTCAGTTTGTGTCTTAAGGGAATAACAGCTTAACGGATTATACTGTTAAAGACACTTTTATATTTAATTAGAAAAGGCTGAAATGCATTGGGCAAGAACTGCAAAACAAACTTGCACAACACTGACAGTATAGCACCATGTAATACCTCTGCAATCCTACTGAATTTTTCTCTGTAAACGTCTCCATGCACGTGTAGGATTTTTTCATGCATCTAAGTGCCTCAACTCTACATACCTTCAGTACTGGGATGAAAGAGAAAATGGATGTGTTTTCAACACAGGAAGTGCCCGTTAGCATGGCGTTCAGCCATGAGGCTTCCATTAAGAGTGTGTGTCTGTGTGTGTGTGTGCGTGCACATGCCGGACAGGACTAAGTGACCATGTGGTTGGCATATTGGGGGACTTCTTGTACAGGAATTCTCAAACTAGAAGACCACAGAGACATATTGAGCATGTTAGAAGGAAACTCAAGTAGTTCCCTCTCTGAAAAAGAGCTGCCAGACCACCAACCATCACAACCTTAAAACCACTAATGCCCCCCTCCGTTTTTATTCTTCTCAGTCCAAACAGAAATCTTGTTGGAAGGCAGCGGAGTGAGAAATGACAGCACAGGAATAACGCTTCAATTATAAATCAAACTAAGTATCTGTTGGACTAAGTGTGTAGTCCGTTCCCATTTAACTGCTCTACAGTAAAGCTAACTGGTCATCAAAGTGCTACACTCCCTGTAACAACAATAGCTGTAATTTCTTTGCACTGTTAGATATGTAATTCCAGAGAGGTTTGGATTTACATGGTTTGGTTTTTAACAGTCTTTGCTAGATTTGTTCTGGTCTGTTTTGTACAACTAATAGGCAACATCAAAGGCATCATGGGAATTGTATGATTAAGCTTTCTTGGAACTTGATTTATATTAGTGATTTGCACTGTCTGAGCCTGGATTTCCTGTCATCTGGGAAGCAGTTAAAACACAAGCAGGTAATATTTCAGGTTACTCTCTAATATAACATTGAGTTCAACACTGCAAACGCTAAATTGACTCAACAAGACTTGACAAAGATTTAAAACCGGGGTCAGTGTTTAGGTATGACAGGTCTACAACATTTCCTTTAAAGGGCAAAAGCTGTTATTCTTGCACTTCCATGGACTCGGGGGAAATGTCGAAACTTGTTGATGTAGGTTTTTTACGATTTATCAGCATTTCCTGTCATACAGGCTCAATAGTATCATCCATTAAATATGGCTGACTGGCACAAAGACAGATGCAATTTTTTGGGTGTGAAACCTGAAGCCAGTGCAGAACTGCATGAAGCCTGCATTTATAACAGGCATCAGGGGTGGCAGAAACATCTATTGTCCGACAGAAGTCAGAAAACAGCCTTCAGCCTTGACCCTTAAACACTTTCCTGAAGAGTTTATGACACCAATCAATAACTTCTTGTCATATTAATAGAGTCCTTTTTGCAAATATTGGTCATTCTAGGCATCAGACAAGAACATCATCCAGGATATGCTCAAGAATTTGGGATTTACAAATCAAACAGCTTCACAGAAACATCCACACTTGCACGCACATCTGGGTTCAAAACGCCAAGATGTCAGTGATGAAAACACTCATCTCAAGTCTTGGGAACTCTACAGAAATACGTGATTATCCATCCTGTCAACTTCCACATAGTGTTGAAGCAAAGATCCACCATATTAAAAGAAGTTTTAGCAAGATCGTAGTGTCAGTATGTTCTGGTAGCAGACATCTCTCTCCAGAGGTCTTAAAAAATAACATTCAAAAGGCTGGCACTGTGAATAAGGCTTTACAGCTTTATGATGCATTACACTTTCTCAGAATTGATAGTTTCTCTGATTCACGAGCTTATCCAGAGGTTTAGCAACTTAAACATACTCCAACAGCTCTATGCAGAACTTCACTGTTTGTTTTTCAGAGCCGGATGGCAACAGCAGGACAGCCGACCCTTCATTCCATCTCCCGACTACGCCTTGCCACAACATAATGTGATTAGCTTAATCTAGTTAGACTGAAATAATGACCATGGCTGTGCAGGATGCACCATGTTGGCAAGGGGGCTTTTCTGAGGAGGAGTGAAGGTCCCTGGTTGGCACTCGTATGTATCTTGCCATGGCCCTGGCTGCCACCTGCTGGTTTAAGACTTTGGATATGGATTTAGACTTTGAGAGGCTGGAAAAGCGTGATATGTGGGTTTAATCGTATGCTCGGTCACAGTAATTCAAGCATGTCTAAGCTTTGCCAAATTACACCAAATTTAATGGACACTGATACTGCTGGAATGAGGCAGGGCGCAGATTACGTTTATACAGAAACACTGTTTTTACTTCCAGGCTGTTGGGGAATCAACTGTCAACATAAAGAGTCTATACTATCAGCAGGCAGGTGGCTGGAGGAACACCTGCCTTTAAATTGTTTTTTGTCAAATGTCTATTCTCAAACCACACAATCAAAAACAGTCATTAAGTCCTGTGGGGGCTACAATGACATCACCTGTTTTGGATGCAATTACCACAACGATACTTG